GATCACAGTTTGAAGCCAGTTGGGGCAGAAAAGTCCATGAAACTCTTATCTCCAATAAACTACTCAGAAAAAACTGAAAGTGGCTCAAGTGGTAGAGCACTATCCTTGAGTACAAACAGGCTCAGGGACAGCACCCAGGCCCTAAGTTCAAGGACAAGCAAAAAAAAAGGTTACTAAGATATCTTTTGGGGGTGGGAAGGTAGCTCAGTTGTAGAGTGCTTGCCTTGCATGCATGAGGCCCTGGGTTCCATTCCTCAGAACCACATAAGCAGAAAAAGCCGTAAGTGGCTCTGTGGCTCAAGTGGTAGATCACTAGACTTGAGCTGAAGAGCTGAGGAACAGTGCCCAAGCCCAGAGTTCAGGCCCCACAACCAAAAAAAAAAAATCTTTTGAACTGAATGAAATGAAAATAAAACATATTAGAATTTACAGGATGCCAGAAAGCTATACTTAGTGGGAAGTTTTAGCACTTATTAAATACCTATATCAGATTAATGACTTATCAGAAAAAATTCATTAAACCACTCAGCTTCTATCTTAAACTAGAAAAAGGAGATTAAACCCAAAGCAAGCATAAGAAAGAAAGTAATAAAGATTAAAGCACAATCGATAAATAGAAAGAAAAACTAATAGAGAAAATAAGCAATTAAAGTCATACCTAGTTCTCTGAGATAAACCATAAAATATGTAATTTCTAGGCAGATTTGATCATGGGGAAAAGGTGAGAAGACAAAAATTACCAATATTAAGAGAGAGTTTACATCACTTACAGATTCTACCAGTTTTAAAAGAATAAAGAAAACCTCTGCTAAAAATTCAACTATTCGGGAGTGGGAAGATAACTCAGTGGTAGAGCGCTTGTCTTGCATGCATGAGGCCCTGGGTTCGATTCCTCAGTACCACATAAGCAGAAAAAAAAAGCCAGAAGTGGTGTTGTGGCTCAAGTGGTAGAGCACTAGCCTTTAGCTGAAGAGCTGAGGAACAGCACCCAGGCCCAGAGTTCAGGCCCCACAACCAGACCCAACAATAAATAAATAAATAAATAAACAAATAAATTCAATGCCAACCCAACAAGAAATAGGCAACTCAAATAACACTATTGTTATTAAAGAAATGGACTTTGTAGTTAAGAACCTTCCCACAAAGAAAACTACAGGCCCATTAGCAGATTCTATCACAACTATAAAATGAAGAAAATAAAATCGATATAAATTCTATACAAATTCTTCCAGAAAAAATAAAGAGAGGGAATATTTTCTAGTTCATGATTTGAGGTTGGTACTACCCTGATTCCAAGAACAAAGACATAAAAGAAATAAAACTGTCAACTAATAGCTATTCTTAGAACAGATGCAGGCCAAGCACTGCTGAGCATCATGGTTTGAAGCCAGCTGGGGTAGGAAAGTCCATGAGAATCTTATAGCCAATTAACCACCAGAAAAAGCCAGAAGTGGTGCTATGGCTCAATTGGTAGAACGCTAAACCAGCAAAAATAAATAAAACAGATCAAAATTTTAGCAAATCTGATCCAACAACATATCGAAAGTACAGTGCATCAAGAGCAAATGAGCTTTATTTCATGAATGTAGAGTAGGCTTAGCAACTGAACATCTATAGGTATAATTCACCATATTAACAAATGAAACAAGAAAAATGCGCAATCATCTTTTTTTTTTTGTCGGTCATGGGGCTTGAACTCTGGGCCTGGGCGCTGTCCCTCAGCTCTTCAGCTCAAGGTGAGCGCTCTACCCACTTAAGCCACAGCACCACTTCCGGTTTTCTAGTGGTTTAAAGTCTGACAGACTTTCCTGCCCAGGCTGGCTTTGAATCGTGATCCTCAGACTCTAAGCCTCCTGCATAGCTAGGATTACAGATGTGAACCACCAGGGCCAGGCCCCCGAAATCATCTTACTTGATGAAAACTCAACAAATGGTTTCTAGAAGGGAACTTCCTTAAGCATGCTAAGAGCATTTATCAAACCCAATGGCTGACATCATTCTTGCCAATGAACAACTTTCCTGTGAGATCAAAAAATGAGGCATGGGCTCTTGCCACTTCTATTTAACATGCTGCAGCCTGTGTCCATCACTCCAATCAGCCAAGAAAACGAAGTAAAGAAATCCAAATTGGAGCCAGGTGCTGGTGGCTCACGCCTGTAATCCTAGCTACTCATGAGACTGAGATCTGAGGATCGAGGTTCAAAGCCAGCCCGGGCAGGAAAGTCCGTGAAATTATTATCTCCAATAAAGTGGCGCTGTAGCTCAAGTGGTAGAGCACTAGCCTTGAGCTGAAGAGCTGAGGGACAGCATTCAGCCCCAGAGTTCAAGCCCCACGACCGACAAAAAAAAAAAGAAAGAAATCCATATTGGAAAGGAAGAAGTAATCATTCATATGGAACATGATCATCTACTAGAACAAATAAGTAGGCCTATCAAAGTTCCAGAATGCAAAACCAGTATATCGCTACATACTAGCAATGAACAATTGGGAATCAAAACAATAATAGAATTTATAATAGCATAAAAATGAAATGCTAAAGAGATAAATATGACAGAACATACATGCTTAAGAAACTATAAAACCGGGCTGGGAAGGTGGCTCAGTGGTAGAGCGCTTGCCTTGCATGCCTGAGACCCTGGGTTTAATTCCTCAGCATCACATAAGCAAAAAGAAAAAAAAGCTGGAAGTGGTGCTGTGGCTCAAGGGTAGAGCGCTAGCCTTGAGCTGAAGAGCTGAGGGACAGCGCTCAGGCCCAGAGTTCAGGCCCCATGACCAGACCCCCCCAAAAAAAAAGAAAAAGAAAAGAAAAGAAACTATAAAACCTTGTGAAATTAAAGAAGGCCTAAATGGATCAAGAGATTTACTTTTTCTGCAGGCTGGAAGACTAAATATTAAGATATCAATTCTTGTTGGGCACCAGTGGCTCACGCCTGTAATCCTAGCTACTCAGGAGGTTGAGATTTGAGAATCTTGGTTCAAAGCCAGCTTGGACAGGAAAGCCCATGAGACTCTTATTTCCAATTAACCACCAAAAAAATGGAAATGGCGCTATGGCTCAAGTGGAAGAGCTCAGGGATGGCACCCAGGCCCAGAGTGCAAGCCCCACAACTGACCAAAAAAAAGTCAGTTCTTCCTAAATTGGATTCTATTTTATTTTTATTTTTTTTGGTTCAATCATAGGGCCTGAACTCTGGGCCTGGGCGCTGTCCCTCAGCTCTTCAGCTCAAGGCTAGTGCTCTACCATTTGAGCCACAGCGCTACCTCCAGCTTTTTTCTTTTTGTTTATGTGGTGCTGAGGAATCGAACCCAGGGCCTCATGCATTCAAGGCAAGCGCTCTACCACTGAGCCACCTTCTCAGACCCCTAGATTGGATTCTAGAATCAAGTAATCTAAACAATAATCTCACCATACTTTTTGCAGAAATTAACCATTTGCTAATCATAAAGCTAATGTGGAACAACCAACGGTGTTAAAGGACTTACCCAAACAAACAACTTATTAGAAAAGTACAAGAGCCAAACCTGATGGCACATGTTTGTAACCCTAGATTCTTGGGAGATGAGGCAGAAGAACTATGAATATGAGGGCAATTTAGACTACATGAAAGACTCTGTCTCAAGCAAAAAAAAAAAAAAAATGAAGCCACCAAAACAATGGGTCACAGCTATAATACTAGCTATTAAGGAGACAGAGATCAGGAGGGTTGTGGTTCAACCAATAAAGGCACGTGCCTGTCATCCCAGCTATGCAGGGAATGTAGATAGGAAGACAGTGGTTCAGGCTGGCCCAGTCATAAATGCAAGACCTCCCCTCTTTTTTTTGTCAGTAGTGGGGCGTGAACTTTGGGCTTGGGCGCTGGCCCTGAGCTCTTCAGCTCAAGGCTAGTACTCTACCACTTGAGCCACAGTGTCACTTCCCATTTTCTGGTGGTTAATTGGAGATATGAGTGTCACAGACTTTCCTGCCCAGACTGGCTTTGAACTATGATCCTCAGATCCTTGGCCTAGGATTATAGGTGTAAGCCACCAGTGCCAGGCTTGCAAGACCCTATTTTTAAAAACCCTAAAAATAAAAGGGCCAGGGACGTGACTCAAGTGGTAGGATATATAACTAGGAAGGTCCTCAGCTCACACCCCAAGATTGCCAAAAATTAAAAATTAAAGCGTGGTGTCAAAAGAATGAATGGACACATCACAGTCTGGGAAAAAATATTGAGAAGTATATATCTGATCAAGGATGTGTATCTAGAATACATAAAGAATTCTCAAAATAATCAATCCCTTTATACTTGCAGAAGACTTGATGCTTCACAAAATAAAAATGGATGACAAACACATGGAAAGATGCTTACCATCATTAGTCATTGTAGTAATGACTATATACTATACACCTGCCAGAATAGCTAAATTAAAAGACCAAGTCAAGCAAGAGCTGATGGGCTTGCAAAGAACAGCTCCCAGGCCCTAAGTCCAAGTCCCAGAAAAGGCATGCACGCATGTGTGTGTGCACGCACACACATACAGACACACACAGGGCTGTTTTAAGTTTATTAAAACTGCACCATAAGAGGCATGGGTCCAGTAACACCAAAAACAAAACAAAAATTGATCAGAAACTCAACGGTATTAATAGCTTGCTTTCATTAGAAAGTCTTCAGTAACAAAAAAATGGAGGTGATTATCAGAGACACTTCTGGAAACCAGAAGCCAATCTGACTGGCACAAACTGACAAAGAAGATAAGGGAGAGGAGAGGGACCTCTGTCTTCAGCACGAGAGTGGCCAGGCTTCTGGGTGGGAATCCTCTCCTAGCTAACTTAGTCCCTTACAAGTCTTGTCCTAGAACAAGAGTCTTGTCCTCTATAAACTTCAGTGGTATGACAGCAGAAGAAACACAGCTCCCTGTGTGTGATCCCCTCTTGGGAACACAATGTTCACAGGCAAATACATGTCTAGGAAAAACTTCAATGGCAAGGCATGGAAATTGGTGTTTAACTTACAGGATGCTTGGCTGAAAGTCTCCCGGTCACAGTTCCGGTCTGATTCCATGTAGAGGAAACAGAGCCCTGAAGCATTGAAAAGAGTGTTTAAACCCAAGCAATGCTGTGTGAAGTAAGGACATGCAGGGCCTTCCACTTACATAACCTCCCCACTCCTCTACAGGTCCACAAGCTGCTGGCCCGACATGTCCTAGGATTACCCAACCCACCATGGGATTAGGTCACATAAAGCATACTCCCCTTTAACCAAGTAGAAGCGTCAACAGTCAAGTTAGTCTATACCACCCACACACTGTGTATGAGGCAAGGGGTTCTGAGTGGCTGGGACTTGGCACGGACTCTAGTGGGACTGTGTGTCACAGACAGGTTCTGTCATTTGCTGCATGGTCTCAAGTCATAGAGATCTGTAACTGCAGACTCCTTGTCTGTGAGCAAAGGCAGTAACATCTGCTTCTAATGGTCCACACGAGAGACATGAGAGTGATGTGAAAGCACGAGGCTAGGGGAAGAACTGCTTCATAAATGGAAGTCTTGAGATTCTACAGAACCTGAACAACTGGTGGTCCGCAGATCCAAGACTACTTCATCATTTAACAGAATTGTAAATGTCCTATGTGTATCTGAACTTGCTTATAAGCCACCTTTCTAAGACCACTTTTTATTTTAAGCCTCAGTTACCTTTTCCATACAAGCTAGAAATCCATCTACAAAGGTTGACTTGATCTTGTGAACCTAAACCGCAAAGACGAGAATAGCCATTTTTTTATTTCAATAGGAACACAGTGCTGGATACATGCTGTCAAAGTCACCTCATTTGACCTCAGGTGGTGCCTGCCAGGATTGAGCAGCACTGGCCCACAGAGAAAGGTGCTACCGTACCCTTCTTTTCAATGTAATTTATTGTTATTATGAAGGTGTTGTACAGAGGGGTTACCGTTTCTTAAGTCAGGTAATGAGTATACTTCTTTTTGGAAAATGTCACCCCTTCCTTTGCAAATTGCATAGTTCATTTTCCACATACTGTCTACTGAGTACCATACCTGCTTTTGTTCACTTTCCCTCCCTCCATTTCTCTACCTCCTTTCCCCCCTCCTAAAAATACAAGGGGAAAAAAAACAAAAGCAAAAACACTACTTCTACCACCACTACTACCACCAAAACCCCCATGTTTCCATTTCCTGAAATTTATCTCAGTAAAGAGTATTTTAAATATTCAGAGGAGCTATACCTTTGGGTTTCTTCACTAAGTATTCTCCTTTAGTCCAATTGTGTGCTACATTGCTATTTTATTTTTTGTCAGTTGTGGGGCTTGAACTCTGGTCCTGGGCACTGTCCCTGAGCTCTTCAGCTCAAGGCAAGTGCTCTACCACTTGAGCTACAGCGCCACTTCCGGTTTTCTGTGGTTTACTAGAGATAAGAGTCTCACAGACTTTCCTGCCTGGGCTGGCTTTGAATTGTAATCCTCAGGTCTCAGCCTTCTGAGTAGCTAGGATTACAGGTGTGAGCCACCAGCTCCCAGCTACCTTACCCTTTTAAAATTAATCTTTTATTCAGCAATATTTCTAGATTTGCAGATAAGTTGCAAATATACGCAAATCAATAAAAATGTCACCCAGTGTCCTTGAGGTCTGTGTGCACATGGACAGCAGGCCACGAGCTCAGTAGGTAATAGGACCAGCAGTCTCAGCAATGGTAAAGTTATAAATGGGGTTCATGAACAACAGAAAACACTGAAGTTATGGACAGATTTGTGTACAGAGAAAGCATCAGTAGCCGCAGGAGTAAAGGGGTCATCAACCCCCTGGCAAATGTTACTGAGCAAAAACACTGTCCTGGGGCACAAGGGCCACTGGAAGAGTGGGGGTTTTTGTAGGGTTGAAATATGAGTCAAAACAAAGCCACAGTAATGACAGGCTGTCAGTCTCCCTCTACATAGGACTCCTTGGGTTGCCTGTGCTGGGCATAGCACACCCTCTGGCGTAAGATCACATCATGAGATGAGGAAGCAGAAATAACACAAAGTTGGCTGAGAAGATACCCTTCACTTAGAACAGCAAGGGAGCTGCAGCTTATGTGAGTGCATTCACAGAGAGAGGGTCAGACAGCATTCTTACAAACTACTTACAAAAATGTCTACTTGGGCTGGGAAGGTGGCTCAGTGGTAGAGCGCTTGCCTTGCATGCCTGAGGCCCTAGGTTTGATTCCTCAGCACCACATAAACAAAAAGAAAAAAGCCGGAAGTGGCGCTGTGGCTCAAGTGGTAGAAGGCTAGCCTTGAGCTGAAGAGCTGAGGGACAGCGCCCAGGCCCAGAGTTCAGGTCCATGACTGGATTCCCCCCCCCCCAAAAAAAAATGTCTACTCACCTGCCTGTATTCCAAAATTATCTTGGGTAATGGATGAAGGTCTTGCAGAGAACTTAACTAAAAAATGAAAATATGAATCACCAATGGAATTTTTTCATTTCAAATATTTTGAATATTTTCAGCAGGAGAAACTCCCAGCTGCAAATGGGCAAATGAAATAAACATAGATTGCTTTGTCAGAAACATAACATTTCTCACCTCCCTGCTGTTGTACAATCAACCCTAAGTCTAGAATGGGTGAGGACAGCCTTTTCTCTACTCTGGTCATATACAAACTAAAATATTTGAATTTTTTCATTAGGACCCCAGAACAAGGTTTCTTTGTTTTTAATCTTGTGTGTGTGTGTGTGTGTGTGTGTGTCTGTCTGTCTGTCTGTCTGTGTCTGTGTGTCGGTATGTGTGCACGCATTAATCCTGGGGCTTGAACTCAGTGCCTAGGTGCTATCCGAGTTTTGCTCAAGGCTAGCACTCTACTATTTGAACCACAGCTCCACTTTTGGCCTTTTGGTGATTAATTGGAATAAAGAGTCTCAAAGACTTTCCTATCTAGGCTGGCTTTGAACCACAATCCTCAGATCTCATCTTCTTGTATAGCTAGGATTACAAATGTAAGCCACTGGAACCTGGTTTGTTTTTAATCTTAAGAAAAAACAATAAAGGAAGCGGGAAAGTGATGGCTTACACCATAAACTTAACTACTCGTGTGGCTGAGATCTGAGAACTGCTGTTCAAAGCCAGGTTGGGAAAGCTAATCGCAGACTCTTATCTCCAATTAACCAGCAAGAAAGCTGGGATTGATGGTATAGGTCAAGTGGTAAGAGCACCAACCTTGAGCAGAAAAATCCAAGGGAGAGCATGATACTCAGAGTTCCTGCCCAGTACTGGCACAGATATATACACATATATATGTGTACACACAAGTACATATATACATACATGTGAATATATACGTACATAGATGTGTATATACATCTATACACATATATGTAAATAAAGGCTGAAGAGGAAAAAAAAACAGTTGGTTTAATTGAAGTGGGATTTAATCTAATGGTCCTCCTGAGATGAAGGAGTCCCAGCTTCTGTGGAAAGGCTGCAGCTTCCTTCTTGCTGGCTCTCTGCATGGAAAGAGTCTTCTCCATTGACAAGATTCTTCTTTATTTCTGGATCAGGGAGGATATTTTATCATTATTTTTCTTTCCTTCATTCTAGAAGTTGTCTAAGTGCTGCTACAATGTTAATTTTCAGTGTACTTTAATGATTTCTTGCTTGCTTTTTTTTTTTCTTTTTTGCCAGTCATGGGGCTTGAACTCAGGGCCCAGGCACTGTCCCTGAACTTCTTTTGCTCAAGGCTAGCACTCTGCCACTTGAGCCACAGTGCCACTTCTGGCTTTTTTTTTTTAGTAGTTTAATTATTAGAGATAGGAGTCTCACGGAGTTTCATGCCTGGGCTGGCTTTGAACTGTGATCATCAGGTTTCAGCTTCTTGAGTAACTAGGATTACAGGTCTGAGCCACTGGTGCCCAGCCGATTTCTTGCTTTTTTTTCTTATGTGGTGCTGAGGAATCGAACCCAGGGCCTCAGGCATACAAGGCAAGCGCTCTACCACTGAGACACCTTCCCAGCCCCTGATTTCTTGCTTTTTTGACATTTCTTTTTACTCTCAAGATTATATAATAATTTCATTTCTATGACTGTTTCAATGGTCCCTGTGCTTCCTGAATTTTTGATGACTTTCATTATGTTCTTGAGCAACTTCATAATCCTGAATAGTTTTACCGTACAATTCTTCTATTAAACAGACATCTCTTGATCTTTCAGAGCATTCACACTGTCTAGTTCCATCTGTTAAACTTCAGAACATACTATAATAGCTTCAGTGGGCTTCTTGTCCTTAGGAAAGTATCAACCAATACTTCCTTGTGAACAAATTGTATATGTAGCCATGCTGGGCTTTGTTTTCCTGGCAGATCCAGACTTGCTGGCTGCATCTGTGCATCTTCTATCTCTGATAAGCTCTTCAGCTGAATCAATCGATGACATGCAAAACATCTTTTATGATCTTGATCAAGTTCAAGACATTCACAACATCACTGAGGACAGACTGTGTAGGTCAGTGTGCTGATTCTGTAAAATACCTCAGTATGATCATTCTTCAATTTTGATGAAGCTTTTAAGTCACAGCATTTCTAGGTTCATTTTCTTATATAAAAACATTCAGTTCGAAGTTCACATTATTCTGCTTCCCAAATACAAACCTCCAAAATCTTACCAAGGAAGGTATCACAACAGTATGATCTAAGTTTGTGAATGCAGATGCTGTATTTTGTCAGATTTTGTACATTGACTGAGCTTCCTTTTCTTCATTTTCACTTGGGTTATATTTGAGCACTTTTATGAGATCATCTTTGTGCCTCATCAAGTCTTCCTGTAATCTTGCTGCAGTGAAAGCCACTTACAATTTAGCCGCTTAAGTTACATCAGGAAGTGCTGCTCTTGATTTACTAGTGGTTAGAAAGACACGAGCCCTCCAGTCCAATAGCATGCAACATAGCTATCAGGGTTACCATCCACTGCAGCATGAAATTAAGATAAAGCACCAGCTAGATGTCCAGCAGCAAGTAAGTTCTTGCCCAATTCAAGATGTGTCTCAACAACTGCATTTACTGCGCATTCAGCACCTTTGTACTGCAAGTCCTCCAGGACCGGCAGGAAGGGAACGCCAGGCCCAGCTGGCTGATCACAAAACTAGACAACACCATGTCTGAGGGCATTGGGGATGTGGAGGAGAAAGGTATAACCCTACCAGCCCTGGCTACCACTACGGCTGCCTGCTTTCTGCTCTTAGTCTTTGTTTTTTTTTTTTTTTTGGGTCCGGTTGTGGGGCCTGAATTCTGGGCCTGGGCGCTGTCCCTCAGCTCTTCAGCTCAAGGCTAGCGCTCTACCACTTGAGCCACTGTGCCACTTCTAGCTTTTTTCTTTTTGCTTATGTGGTGCTGAGGAATTGAACCCAGGGCCTCAGGCATGCAAGGCAAGAGCTCTACCACTGAGCCACCTTCTCAGCCCCTCTCTGCTCTTAGTCTAGCCAACTGTCTCTGTATGTAAACATCTTGACAGCAGAAGTCTGAAAACACTTCAAAAGAACTAAGTGTTTGCTGATACAGCACTGTAAACAAAGTACTGCACATGTTAAGGATCAGAGAAGGAGGCCATAGGAAGCCTGCAGCCCTGCCACTTCATTGAAGGCAATGCTGGCTCATGACACCGCACCCTTCTGACCTTGCTTCCACTCCACCACTCTACTCGCCCACTGGCGCCTCCTCTTGCTGACCTCCAGTGTCAGTTTCTCAGAGTTCAGCTGTGTGGTTACTGACTGGTAGAAGAGCTTCCAACACTGCCCAATGGCTTGCCTGCCTGGCTGGCTCTGAGTCAGTGGTAGTATCAGTTGGGTATCTGAGTATCTACATTTTCTAAATCTCCAGCAGAGTGGAACACCACTGTCTCAGGGTGATGGAAACAGAGATCAGCTGACAGCTTCCTGCAAGCGCAGGCTCCATCCCTACAGCACTCACCCCTGGCTCCAGCCCACAGACACACCTAGACACACCTGTTCAGATGAAGTGGGTGCACATCTGCCTGAACACGCCTCACACTATACAGCGGGCACCTCACAAACAAACCACCCTCTTCTCCATTTCCTCATAGTAGCTGTATCCAGTGTACAGGTGCACACTCAGGAGCCTCACTGTTATTTACATGCACACCAATGTACTGGAGGTCCTTTCTGTTCTAAAATATTTTGGAAATCCATCTGCTCTACTCCACTTCCCTGATATCACCTGCATTGTAGTGACAAAGCCTGTTTGTTAGTGAGATACAAGATACAAGAGAGCCAGATACAAGAGTGATATTGTAAACATACATAACACCTGTGAGAAGAGGTCCAAAGCTGGGTTACAAAATGCCAAGGAGGAGGTGTCACAACAGGAGCTTCATGGGTGCAGATGTAGAATGGTTCAGCTGCTTCCGAGGCAGACGTGGTGGTTTCCTGTAACACTCGGTGTACTTTTACTATGTGACCCAACAATCGTGCTCCTCAGTGTTTACCAAAGGGACTGGGAAACTCAAGTCTATATGAGTTAGTGATAACTGCCAAAACTCGAAAACAATCAAGATGTCCTTCAGCAGACACTGGTGGTTTGTGCCTATAATCCTGGCTATTAAGGAGGTTAAGATCTGGAAAATCATGGTCTGAGGCCAGCCTGGGCAGAAAAGTAAGACTTCTCCAAAATAATTAGCAAAAATCAGGGCTGGAGGCATGGCTCAAGTGGCAGAACATCAGCTGAGCAAGCAAGGTGAGTCAAAACCTTGAGTTCAAACTCAGTATTATCAAGGAAAAAAAGAGACATCCTTAGCAAATAAGTAGATAAACAAACAATATCCAGACAGTGGAATATTATTCAATGCTAAAATAAATGGTTGTCAACCATGAAAGATAGGAGAAATGTTAGCTAAAACTGCTAAGAAAGCTCCATTCTGTGTGACTTTATGGTACCCTGGAAAAGCAAAGCTAGGGAGACAGTATAAAGGTCAGTGGTCACCTCGGATTGGGATAGAGACAGAGGAATATGCAGGAAAAAAAAGGATTTTTAGAAAATATCCTGAATAATACAATAATGGTCAACACATGGCATTATTTTCTTGTCCAAACAGTAACAGTGAGCCTTAACTTAATGTAAGGACTGGACAATAATGTGTTAGTGTAGGTTCATCAACTGCAACAAACGTCCATCTGTGAGTGCAGTTGTAGCATCAGGATCATGTGTGTGTGGCAACAGGGCACATGTGGAAACCACACTTTCTGCTTGATGGGATGTGTTCTGAAAGGTCATCTGCAGCCCTCCCATGGCCTGCAGAGCATAGTAAATGGGGTCCTTGCCTATCTCTCAGTTTTGTCATAAGGCTGTAGCCTCAGAGACCTGAGCAGCCAGAGCCCCAAGCCCTGCTCCCCATTCCAAGCACAGGTAGAACCTCATCTTCAAGCTTCCACTTATGCATCATGTTTTGAAGTTCTTTCTGAACAGCTCAGTCTAAAACGTGTCATTCTGCCTGATGTTCCCCCCCTCAATATCTTACTTTCATGTTAGGAGATCTTATCCCACTGGATAAATATGTTTCTGTGACAATGATAAATATGTTTCTATGATGCTTAATTTTAGGTGTTAACTTGATTTTATCAAGGGACTATCTAGAGGCTGGTGAAGTATTCCTTCTGGGTCTACGTGAGGACATTTTCAGAAAAGGTTGGAAAATCGTGGGCTGACCAAGGAAAGATCTACCCTCGATTACCCTAGTGGACCCTGGCTCTTAGGCCTCCTGCCTCAGACTGAGACTTACACAGTCAATTCCCTGGGTAGAGGCTCTAGACTTAGACTAAGAAATGCCATTAGGACCCTTGGGTCTCCAGCTTGCAAAGGGTTGATAATAGGAGTTCTCAGTCTCCATAACCTCATGAGCCAATAATAAATGTCTCCTCAGATGGGTGGTGGTGGCTCACGCCTGCAATACTAGCTACTCAGGAGGCTGAGATCTGAAGATCATAGCTCAAAGCCAGCCCAGCAGGAAAGTCTGTGAGACTCTTATCTCCAATAAACCACCAGAAGGCTGGAAGTGGAGTTGTGTCTCAAGTGACAGAGCACTAGCCTTGAGCAAAGAACTCAGCTCAAGGACAGTGCACAAGCCCCAAGTTCATGCCCCAGGACCAGCACAAAACAAACAAACAACAAACAAATAAATATATAAATGTCTTCTCATACATCTATATCTAGCCTGTTGGATCTGCCCCTCTGGAGAACTCTAATACAATCCCCCACTGGAACAGTTCCTGTTTTATGATGACAAAGGCCTTTTCCTATCAAGCTATAAACTGTGTTTAATTCTGAACTAGGGTACAACAAATGTTGAACAAATAGGGAAGCCACCTGCCTTATTCATGGCTAGAGTATCCAAAGTTTAGCTGTATTCTTGATATATAATAGATGCCCATCAGAGGGTGTAACTGCATGACCTGGGGACCTCTCCCTTCAGTCAGGTGGAGGTCTGGGAGTTAACTCCCAGAAATGCTGAAAGCTTCCTAACCTCAAGATCAGGCTACTTTCCCAGAATCTGAGTCCCCTACAATGCTCTTAAAATATATGACTTCACTGGAGGAAATACTAAAACTGCCTTCAGTATGTGGCTAAGGAAGAACCCTTTCTCACCCTGGGTGTGTCTACTGTGGGGCAGGAATTAATTCCCACTGTTCCCAGGCAGGAGTGAGTGGAGATGACTGCCAGCTGGAACCACACATCTCCAGAATGCTGAATGCCACCCTGCCCAGCTGCACCCCCTGGTGAAAAGTGCCAGAACTGGCCTGCATCAGTGTAGAGATCACGCTCTCTGACCATCAAGCATTTACCCAGAAACCAGTATCAGAATATGTGAGAATCTGCCACAAGTTTTCAAACTTATACTTCCAAATAATGCGCTCAACAAAGAGGAATCATAATGGAAATGAGAATATACATAGAGAATGTGAGCATTACACACAGACAATGTGAAAGTGAAAACTTGAGTCATTCAAGTCTACTGAGTGTTCCCTGCTCCCAGGAGAATTCCAGAACAAAGCAAGCTCGTGCCATGTGAGTGCTAAGTCTCAAAGCAGTCAGAAAAATGAAGGTGTGAATTCCAAGTTCTCCTTAGCCCTGAGATGCTGAGGAGGAAGAGGGCAGGAAGGAGGGGAGGGAACTGGTGGGAGGAGCCACAGGGCTCATTACACCCTGGGAATGGGATAAGGAGGATGGAGAGAAATAGCAAAAAGGAATTTAGAGCAGTATCCATATTTTACTTAGCAAATGTCATCTTTTAAATGCACAGAATGAACAGCTTGACTTAGCTAAACAAGAGTGAGGTCAATGATTCATGTTGATGGTATCTGTGGGAAAAAAGCTAACGTCAGTGCTCAACTTTGTCTACAGGAAAGCATATCAAAACCAGGAAAGTGATACTTCCTTTCTTGTATTATTGGCTATCTTGAGAGCAGAGGGAGCTGCAAGGGAAGGACAACAGTGCCGGCTGGTGCCAGGACAGAAAATGAACTGCCCACAGGTGCAGGCTCCAGGCCCCGCGTGCTCTCCGAGGTGGCGCCTGCCAGCGGCGTTGGGCTGCGGTCCATCTCTAGTTCTGTTGACACACCTAGGCATATCCTCATTCAACACTCGTAAGATCCCATCAGGAAAATCACTATTACGTCCTTTTACAGACCTGGAACTAAGGCCCAAAGCAATCAGGTAAGGGTGGCTACCGAGGACCTGGCAGTTCCAAGTCCCTTGTGGGGCACCCTTGGCACCTTTGTTCTCCTCAGAGTCTCTCACTCAGATGCTGAGAACCAGCTACGAGGAGTCAGTGAGCACAAGCTCTGTGATGGCTTGTTTCCGCAGCCCTGCCATGGCCCTGACAGACATATGGAATACTGGAGAGTCAGAGGAGTCTAAGGAGAAACTCTCCCTGCCACAAAGCCAAGAGCCAGATGGCACAGGAAATGTAAACCCAAGCAACAGTAGCAACTCCCCATAACAACACAGTCCACTTCTCACGGGCTTCTACTCAGAAGCCCTTCAGTGAAGCCACTTGTCAGCTTTGAACATCTGTAATCGAAGCTACTCAGGAGACTGAGATTTGAGATCTGAGCATCATGGATCAAAGCCAGCCCAGAAGGAAAGGACTTAAGACTCTTTTTTTTTTTTTTTTTTTTTTTTGTGAAAATATCGTACAGAGGGGTTACAATTACATGGGCAAGATAACGAGCACATTTCTTATCAAGCATTGTTGCCTCCTCCTTGGTTTCCCCTTCCTATCTGTCCCCATGCCCTCCCCCCCCCCAGGACTTAAGACTCTTATCTCAATTAACCACCAAAAAGTCAGAAGTGGGGCTGTGGCTTAAATGGTAAGGTGGCAGCAGGAGCAGAAAACCTCAGAGACAGCACCAGGCCCTGGGTGCTGGCACACACACAAAAGTGTGTCCTCTTGAAGAAGGGAAAGGGAAAAAGGAAGAGGAGTGAACAATTTTATAATACAATGTAAGTATATATGAAAATAGATAAATGACTTCAAAAGTTCATTCCTCTTAAAGGAAGAGCAGCTACAATTCTCTAAAATGAATTTGGGGAACAGGACTGATGATGACCCTCCTCATTTCCAGTCCCTTTTGTGACATGAAACAAAGAAGTCATAATTAGATTGTCAAGAATTTGTTTTAACCCAGGCATGGTATTACACTCCAGTAATCCCAGCATGTAGGAGGCTAGGACAGTAGCAGCTCAAGTTTGAGATCAGCCTAGACAGCATAGTAAGACCCTGACTCTAAGTCAAAGAAACCGAAAAATAACTTAGGCCTGGCGCCGGTGGCTCACGCCTGTAATCCTATCTACTCAGGAGGCTGAGATCTGAGGATCGCAGTTCAAAGCCAGCCCGGGCAGGAAAGTCCGTGAAACTCTTATCTCCAATAAACCACCAGAAAACCGGAAGTGGTGCTGTAGCTCAAGTGGTAGAGCACTTGAGCTGCAGAGCTGAGGGACAGAGCTCAGGCTCAGAGTTCAAGCCCCACAATGGACAAAAACAAAAAACAAAACAAAAAATAACTTAAGAACAAAATTCCACCACATCATCTTTTACCAGAAGTATGGCCAGCCAGGCACTCCTGGAGGGCCACTGGGCTCAGCCAGGAGCACAATCCTGGTAGGCGTCCCTGTCCCCTGAAGGCTGCTGCTGGCACTGAAGGCAGCACCCAGCCAGAGCAGGCCAACGAGTATGTCAGACACAGAGATGCTGGAGTCTTACCACAGCCTCTGAGGTGGATGGGTACTGCTGCAGCCCCATTCTGGGAAGACGTTTCTTCTGGCTCAACAGGTGCAACTTCAACTTGCCAAAGAGGATCTTCAACAAAAGCAATGCACACATATGAAAGAACACCAGCTCTGAGGAAACCGCCATCCTCATCCCAGACAAAGCTGCTAGTCAGACACACAAATGGACGTTTTGCTTGAATTTTGATTTTCTGGAATTTAAAGACTCAAACACTGAATATCATTTGTGAAAGAATATAAACTTAAATGCTTTCTAATACAATAGACTTATAAATTCAGAATAAACCTCCATTTTAACTCCTGAGTAAGAAATTTATTTTTTGAAAGAATACAAAAATTTACCATTACCTCACGAAGCTGATTATTACTCATTATAAGAAACTGTTCTCCTGAAACAAAGTGGGCTTCTTGCTCCAGTTCCTTGAGACGAGCCTGAATATGTGATAAACACATTTTCATAGTTTTCACAACTAATCAAACAATTACAAACAAAAAAGCTGATAATGGAATAAAAAGTAATCTATAATTTACCAAAATGGACACACACACATACACACACACACACACACACACACACACACACACACACACACACACACACACAATGGACTAATAGAATCACCCTATCCAAAATTTATGAAAACAAACTGAAGAAAGCAAAAATAATTTTTTTTCTGGAAGAACTGACGTTTGAACTCAGAATCTTACACTTGCTAGGCAGGCAATCTGCCAACCTGAACCTCAGTCTCAAAAGCAAAAATAATAATATACTAACATGATATTAGGACTAAAAAAAGGAATCCAGCATCACATGAAATAAGACAGAAAGAGAAAGGCTTATCAGAATATATGAGATCAATAAGAAGAAGACATGAAAATGAGTACACAATCTAAATAGATCCTTTACAAAAGGAAACTAATAGCTAATGGCAATAGAAAAGTTATTACCCTCATCAGTAATCAGGAAAACAGAAACTAAACTTTTTGTATGGTTTGTAATGAGGACAATCTAGAAATAACCAGGTGTTTTCCACAACACAATCTATGCACTAAGCTACATAAAGCCATGCATTGAGGCTCAGATGCAGAAGGCTGAGTGAAAGGTCTCACTTTTGGTTTACTTAGTTACTGATTTACTTACAGTTCAATACTACTTACAGTTCTAAGCCAAGCCAATCTACCTTGTTTGAAGAAACAAGTAAGGTTTTATTGAAGTGGAAAAACCACAAAGAAAAGCAACAACAAAATACCCATGAAGGCAGGGTGGAGGTGGCTTTTAACATCAGAAATGTGTTTCTGGCAGAAAAAGCAGACAGGGCTCTGGACATCCCATGCTTTAACCAAAGTGACAGTTGCACCCGAGTTTTCTTTAAGGTAAGTTTTCATGTATCTTTCTGTATTTTTATTTTTAAAGGAACCCAAGAATTCCACCATCAGATTCTAGGGGACAATGTCCTTGCAAGAAAACCTGACACTTAAGGACTCTGTAGGTCCATTAAAGAACCTGTCCCTTAGGTGGAAGGTGTGGTTACAGACAAAAGAACCACTCTGGCAAGCATAAAATCCTGAGTTCAAACTGTCATACAACCAAAAAAAATCTATTATTTACCATATCCATGTCACATGTAATGCTTGTCATTCCCTCCCACACACACACAGTAGTTGCAATGCATGCTTCATGTGCATATGTGCAGCAAGGCAAGGTGTGCCCCCCCACATGCAGCAGATGCAATGAAGGCCTCGTAAGCATGTAAACACGACGTGTGCCCTCACAGGTACACATGCACTTGGATGCACTTGGATTTAAATCCTCCCTCCAGGAGTCAGCATGGAAGAACAGTATCAACCTCAGTCTGCAACCAATGGGAAGGAAAGAAACACAGAATCTACTGAGAAGACTCTGAAAGCACAGCTTACCCCAAGAAGTGCCGATGTCCTTTCCATTTCTTCTTTGTTCACCTGAATCTTGTGGTTTTCCATCACTATGGTTAAAAACCCAAGGTAAATCACACTTGCACTGCAGTAAAGAATCCTTTTCAGTAGTCTAAAGAGCAACTCCCATTTACGCAGCCCGGCCTTGGCTGGGAACTCCAACACAACTGGCCTTGTGAAGGGGTCGGCAGGGGGCCTGCACTGGCCAGCTCTGGCCTGGTGCCTTGTACTCCATATATGGAGACGTGCCAATGGCAGTGAGGCTCAGGCCTGGGTCAGAGGCACAGGTGAGAGCCCGGCTGGGTGCTAACAGGGAGAGTCTCAATGCTCCCATCAGGCTGGAGAGAAGCACAGGACTTGAGGATGGGTCAGGATAGAAAAGTGACAACAAGTCAAAGATCAGAGAGGTCTCCTCCTTTTCTTCCTCCTCCTCCTCCTGATTTTATGGAACAAGAGGAGCCCAAATGGCCAGATGTCAGCACCTTTGAGATACTTGTAGACGGGGCGGTAATACAGCCCAACCCTCTTGCTACAGAAGGAAAAGTAAACAGCTGCTGCCTTTTCAGAGCCCATGAGATAGGTGCCTATGGAAGCCAGAGAAGAGTCATTCCCAAATTATTCTCTAGAAAATTCTCTAGATTCTCTGGAAAGAATGACTATACTTCATCTTGTGGTAACTTACCTGCCAAAATCGGTATCAGAGGAAGTTCCAAAGTGCAGAATAGTTTCCATAAACCATGAACCTGTTTCATAGGAAGAAATATCAATGTTGCTCTTAAATTGTTGTCTATATTTGTTGAACAAGCTACTTGATTTTGTGGCCCTAGAACAAAGGAAACTCCTGCTAGAGTGCATCTCTTTCCCATCATCTACTCTCCTTTGTTCTTTCAAGTAAAACTCCTATTTCTGTTGCATATCCTATTTTTCATCAAAATCCAGTAGAGATATTCAGAAATGCTAACTAGACAAACTGCGTCCCAATCTCCTTTACATTTTCTTATTTTTTTAGGATAGGTTTAAGAACTTGGCAGGCTTTTAGTCTTCCTTTTTAATATAAAAATAAGCTTGCTGAATTCTATAAATTTACTTAGACTTCTATTGAACTTGAATTGTGACCACCAACTAAAGATCACTGGGATTTACACAAGGCCACATACTCTAAGATCATGAAATCGTTCCTCTTGTACTCTTATTTTCTTCCATGAGCTTTATCAGAGTTTTATCCTTACTTTGTCCTGCTGCTGTCTGAGAGCCTGCTGGGCCTCACTGTATAGCTCCTCCTGATTTCTCTGTCTGCCCTCCAGCCATTCTCTGCTGGCTTGTGCCCAAAGGCAGGCTGGCTCCCTTCAGGCCACATAATCTGGATTCCCTCTTCCGCCTGCATGAGTTCCATGTTTGGGTTCCAATAAAAGACTCAGGGAAGGAAGGGACAGAGACAGCTCCTCTTGGATCCCACTGGTGGACAAGCCCTTTACTGCCTGTCCCAGAAGGCATCTCTATGTTGTTGGTCTCTTCATCATGCTCTCGCCTCTGACATAGCTCCTTGCTTCAGCTCAGTTGACTCCTCTGATGGCTCTGGCTTCCCCATAAAACTCTGGTTGAGGAAAATTATTATTACTATTTTTAGTTGGTTGTGGGGCCTGAACTCTGGGCCTGGGCGCTGTCCCTCAGCTTTTCAGCTTAAGGCTAGCGCTCTACCACCTTGAGCCACAGCGCCACTTCTGGCTTTTTCTGCTTATGTGGTATTGAGGAATCGAAGCCAGGGCCTCAGGCATGCAAGGCAAGCGCTCTACCACTGAGCCACCTTCCTGGAAAATTATTTTTATACCACTACTAACTAAACTAAATGCTCAGCTTTTATATTATCTATCATTAGAAACATCCCTATTAAAGGGGGAGGTGTTTTATTTTTTCAGCACTTTGATTTAAACTCATGGCCTGTGCTTGTTTGACAGGCACCCTACTTCTGAGCCATGCTGCCAGCCTATTTTTACACTGGTTATTTTAGGATAGGGTCTTGCTTTTTGCCTGGTCCGATGCCTGGACCTTAATCCTCCTATTTCATGCTTCCCACTCCCAACTTCTCACAATGAATGGAGTCTTATGAGCTCTTTTGCCCAGGTTGGCCTTGAGTCATAGTCCTCCTGATCACAGGCTCCCAGGTAGCTAAGATTAAGGAAAGAGTCACTGTGCCTGGTTAAGAGGTTCAGGCCTTATTCCAGTCTTCTATTTCCTGAGTGAAGTGCAAGTGAATCAGGCCTAAACAAAGGTTTCACTTCCTTTACCTTAAGGATGCTGCCACTACACCCTGTGGGGTAGGTGTGAGTGAAAAGACAGCTCTTGTACAATCAGAACTTAAATGTCTTGCCTTCAATTTCGAACAAAGGTCCATCATGAGCTTGTAGAGTATCCTCAGGTCCACACGTACATTCTGACTCTTTAAAAGTGCAAAAGTATAACAATTTAGAAAGGCAGGACACCAGTGCTCATCACAGTAGGACATGAGAATATGAGAACTGCCATCAGCACCAGAGTGCTGCTAGCGAGAAGCTGAGGCTCTCACGGGCTGGTGTTATCTAAATGCTGTTTCACCACATGCTTCAAGTGGACATGGTTCCCTCCACAGAAGATACCTCCAGCATGCAAGTGCAGGCTAGCTAGACCCTGTCTCCCAGACCAGCATTTTCTTTATTCCTCTCCCAGAATGAGAAACAGATCACAAAGAGCATACATTAAAAAAAAAAACCTTCATAAAATATTCTGCTGTGTACTTGGTGCATTAGTGAATGTCCACATTAACATGCATTAGTAATAATCATGGGGAACAATGATTAAAAGGTGCAAAGCGAGAGCACAGACCTCTCAGATCCCACTGTCTCCACCACCCTGCCACCCCTCCCCAACACCCCCCCCCTGCACAATAGTGGCCACATCCACACCTACCTACCCAGTCTCTCCTTAGGAGAGAAGCTTACGAAGGTGCAAGGAGACCCACAAATGGGCTATTTCCAACAGACAGAGAGGGAGACAGAATGAGATCAGCTCCTCCACCCAGTCTGGTTCTCCCAACAGAGAGTTGCAGGCCATCCTGCTCAATACCCAAGGTTGAACAACCCTACTCCAGGCAGTTCAGAATGTTCACTACTGAAGGTCTCAGACGGGGATGGCCCAGTGGGCCAGGGGCTGGCTGTACACCTGGCCTGGCTCTCCTGTCAATGACCCATCAGAGGAGTACATATCTGCATGCTGAGACCACCATCAGGAGAAATCCCATATGGCTGATACAGGAGCCCTATTAACTCCAAAATGGCCACACACTCCTATTCTACTTTGAACAGTCGCAGGATGAGCCATCTCTTTGGCATCACTCAACACTCTAAGAGCCTCAAATCTTTCCAGTTCCCTCCTCCTTTGCAAGCTGCCCTATGTTCCCTGTAAAGTATTGCCATTCCCAGAAGTTCCTTCTACCAGAGGTTCCTTCCACTTTTCTAAGCAATTCAGCAAAAACTCTATGGGACACAGACCCTCCTCTCACACATGCATGCACAGGGGGAAGATCCTCAGGTTGGTGCCTCTGCATGCTTGCCTGCCATGTTTCCACCAGGTGACCTGACCCGAAGAACCTGACTTCAGACATATTGCTCCCTAGCCCCTCTCCTCCAAGGCCTTGCTTCTCTAGGCAAAAACTATGGGCATCCCCAGCAGGAGGGCTTGAGATGTTCTGCCACAAGGACTGAGGTGGCCATCCCAGGAGCTCAGGCATAATGGTCATGTTACCAGCATGAGGTGTTTGTAACAGGGCAGCTCTCAGCTCCCCGAACAGGTGACTGACACCAGAATCACACCGTGAATTAGATTTCTCAGAAGTATCTTGGGGGGGCTGGGAAGGTGGCTCAGTGGTAGAGCGCTTGCCTTGCATGCTCGAGGCCCTGGGTTCGATTCCTCAGCACCACATAAGCAAAAAAGAAAAAAGCCGGAAGTGGCGCTGTGGCTCAAGTGGTAGAGTGCTAGCCTTGAGCTGAAGAGCTGAGGGACAGCGCCCAGGCCCAGAGCTCAGGCCCCACTACCGGACCCCCCCCCCAAAAAAAAAGAAGTATCTCATGGGCTGGGAAGGTGGCTTAGTGGTAGAGTGCTTGCCTTGCATGCATGAGGCCCTGGGTTCAATTTCTCAGCACCACATAAGCAGAAAAAGCTGGAAATGGCGCTGTGGCAAAAGTGGTATATGGTGCTAGCCTTGAGTGGAGGAGCTGAAGGACAGCGCCTAGGCCCAGAGTTCAGGACCCATGACTGGTCAAAAAAACAAACAAACAAATAAAAAGAAGTATCTCATCCGTATTCACCATACGCCACAAGAAATGCTAAGTCCAAAAATGTTTGTGTAGAATATGGGCCAATGAATGTTGGAAATGCTCTTTTTGCTATTAAAATGTTTCTTTAGTAAGTAGGGAAAGTTTATTTAAAAAAAGAGTTGTAGCAAGGTAGACAAAAATCTCATTTTAAAATGACTCACCACACTACTTGTTGAAGAAACTGCGTTCGCTCCACTTCCTTTGACTATGGTAGACTTTTCAAGGTGTTTTGCTACCAGGTCCTGGAAAGAAGGTGCAGTATCACTGGGATCTATGAGCCATGCAGCTATCTTGGGATCTAGCCCTACAAAACCAGCAACTGAAAAGGAACATTTCATTTAATCTTAAAAAGAAAAAGAAACCCTTAAGTGGTGCTTTTTCTACTTTTACAAGGTTCTTAAAGATTAAAGTATGGTAAGGGGAAACAAAGGAGGAGGCAACAATGCTTGATAAGAAATGCACTCATTACCTTGCCCACGTAATTATAACCCCTCTGTACGATATTTTCACAATAAAAATATTTTTAAAAAGATTGAAGTAAATAATAATATTATATTGTCATCCCTTCAAATTACACAGCTAGGTACCCATTTGATTTTATCATTTCAGCAATTTGTGTGTGTGTGTGTGTGTGTGTGTGTGTATGCACATACACATGTGTGTGTGTATACATGCCAATCCTAGGACTTAAATTCAGGGCCTAAGAGCTGTCCCTGAGCTTTTTTGCTTAAGGCTAAAGTTTTGTTTTCAGCTTTTTGGTAGTTAACTGGAGATAGGAGTCTCTCAGATTTGTCTGCCCCGGTTGGCTTCAAACTGTGATCTTCAGAGCTCAGCTTCCAAGTAGCTACAATTATAGGTGTGAGCCCCCAGTGCCTGGCTCCTCAACAATTCTCACTCTAGAAAGGTGGCCTCAGCACACCCAGGCTCCATGCACATCACAAGCTGAGAAGGGACGGGCTCTGGGGCCAATTAGAATTTAGAGCTTTCAACAATACAGATAAGAGCCTGAAGTCAGAATCTCTAAAGACATGAGTCTAAGATTTATAATTACAAAGCAGTCAGTGTCATAACTTTTACATCTGATCATGCAAGTGTGAGATGACTCTCTTACGAGAGCAAGTTTGAAACTGTGGATGAGAGCCCATAGTCCAGGTGACTGCTCACGCCAGGTCAGCAAGGCATGACTTCACACAGCACTGCCTGGTAACACAGACTCACCCCAAAGGACCATTTCAATTGCCTTTCTTAAACTTATAGTGTAAGAGTCCTTACTGATAGATATTTTGAAAGTCCTTGGGGAAATCTGACAGCACTGGAAAACTCTGGAGGCTGGGCCCTGGAAATTCTCAAAAGTGAAAAGACTAAGTCTACCAATCAAATCTCCACAGTGGGAAGAAAATGTCAGTAGCTGAAAAAGAAATGTTAGGCCAGGTGTGGAGGTACACTCTTCTAATTCTGGTGCTCTGGAAACTGAGACAGGAGGCTGGTGCATCTGGAGACAGGCTGGACTACATGAGACACTCTCTCAAAAACAAACAAAAACAAAACAAAAAAACTGCTATGGTAGGCTGCTAGCCCTGAGCAAAAAAGCTCAGAGACAGTGCCCAGGACCAGTGTGTGTGAATATGCACACACACACACACATGTGCATGCATGTGCACACGCACAAAAATTGCTAGGTAGACTTAATGGCACACACCTATAATCTCAGATAAAGTCAAGAATATATTTTGAATATCACTATACTAAAATTTAGGAATGTAGGCAAAGACAACAATAAATGATATACAAGTAAGAGGTATTATAGAATGAGTGGGGAAATTCAAATACTAATTGGAATCTAGAAATATGAAAAGATTACTGCCAACTCTAAGGGGGTATGATGGAGCCTCCATAAATGTGGAATAGTTGTGCTTTTACTCATATACCTGAAATATTTACAGCTTAATTTTATGATGCTTAGGATTTGTTACAAAATATCAAGGAGGCTAGGGTTTGGGGTGTGGCAAGTCAAAGAAGAAAAGGATTGGTAGCTTCAAGTTGATAACTGTTAAAACAAGGTAATTTTATGTGTGCTAGAAAATTTCTACAATAACCAAGAACAGTGGCTCGAGCTTGTAATCATATCTACTTGGGAGGTAAAGATCTGGGATTACAGGTTAAGGCAAACTTAGGCATACAAGATGTTTAATTTTTATTTTTTGTTGGTCATGGGGCTTGAACTCTGGGCCTGGCCGTTGGCCCTCAGCTCTTCAGCTCAAGGCAAGCTGAAGCTCGAGCCACTTGAGCCACTTGAGCCACAGCGCCACTTCCAGTTTTCTGGTGGTTTAGTGGAGATAAAAGTTTCATGGCCTTTCCTGCCTGGGCTGGCTTTGAACCGTGATCCTCAGATCTCAGCCTCCTGAGTAGCTAGGATTACAGGTGTGAGCCATGGGTGCCCAGTGGCATACAAGATTTTTAGGACATAATCTCCATCAATGTTGGGGTGAGGGAGCATGCAGCTGTCATCTCAAGCTTTGGGGGGTTGGGGGGAGCACAATGGGTGGGTGTAGCAGCATACACCTGCAATCCCAGGGACAGCAAGAAGCACAGACAGGTAGATCATGTTTCAGGCTGGGTCAGGCATAAAGCAAAACCTTTTTTGAAAATAACCAATGTGAAACTGTACTATAGGTATGGCTCAAGGGGATAGCAAGTACAAGGGCTAAGTTCAAACCCTATTCCACCAAAAAAAAGAAAAAACACTACAATAAGAGCTTCTGTCCCAAAATCTTATGACTATTTCTAAGTCTGCACATAATTAAAAACATACAAAGCTGGGCACAAGCAGCTCACACCTCTAATCCTAGCTACTCAGAGGGTGAGATCTGAAGATTGAGGCTTGAAGCCAGCCTGGTCAGGTAAATCTGTAAGACATTTATTTCTAACCAGAAAAAAGTTAGTAGTGGAGCTATGGCTCAAATGGTAAATTGCTAGCCTTCAGAAAAAAGCTTAGGGATAGTATCCAGGCCCTGAGTTCAACCCCTGGAATTGGCACACAAAAAAATTTATACAGTGAACACATGTGGTTCCTAGATTCTAGTGTGAACATCTTCACTACATTTGCTTTATCACTTGTTAAATAAAAAAAGACTAGGTGGACATGGCAGTGGGGAATGTCTGTAACACTAGCACTAAGGAGGCCAAGGTATGAGGATTTTGAGTTATGGGCACCATGGCTATACAGAAACAAAAAATTCCAAAGCCAGGCACTGATGGCTCATGCCTTTAATCCTAGTTATTCAGGAGACTGAGATTTGATGGTTGTGGTTCAAAGCAAGCCTGGACTTTTGAGACTTATCTCTAATTAATCACAAAAAGGCCAGAAGTGGCACAGTGGCTCAAGTTGCAGAGTACTAGCCTTGAGCAAAAGGAGCCCAGAGACAGCACCCAGGATCAGAGTTCAAGCTCTAGAACGGGCAAAAAATAAAATGTCTATAGGTACTTCATATCTTACCACAATCTGAGTTCAAGTCATGTAAGTGTGAGGAATATAAGAAGAAGTCAAATAAAGGTAAAAACTGAAAACCTTCATTATACATAGCATCCCATACTGTCAATTAATCTGGTGAATGTAAAGTACTCTGAAAATCTTTGATTTATCAAGTTAATTTCCAATACAACAGCAGGCTTATAGCATAGAAAAACTCTCTTAATGCAAGCGATATGGAAAGGACTTTGTTCTAGTTCATTTTAAATACATGCAAGGACTCATACTGTAGAAAATCTCATGGTGATGAAGCTCTCGCTTCTTCTACATCCCTTAGTAGATGGAGAGAACTCACACTAGAAACAGTCCTATGCAGGAAAACAGTGGCCTGAAGCCTTTGGAGATCACAGCTGCTTTTGAAGCCATGAAAGAACACATGGTGGAGGAAAATCTCAGGAATGTAAACAATGTGCTAAAGTCTAGATATTAAGAATACTTTCAAGTACATGAAAAAGCTCATGAATGAAAAAAGCCTATGCATGTAAACAAGAGGGCAAAGTCTTGAGAATTCAAGTACTCTTCTCAGACATGAAGGAACTAATATGGGGGGATAAATCCTGCAGTGATTAAAAAAAGTCTGGTAAAGCCTTCAGGTATGAATTCCTTCAGCTGGGCAATGTGGTTCACATCTGCAATCCTAAATACTCAAAAGGCCAATGTCTGGAAGACAGGTTTGAAGCTAACTGGACAGAAAAGTCTATAAATTCTGTCTTCAAAATAATCAGCCAAAAGCCTGGCTGGACTCGTGGTTCAAGTGGTTGAGCACCTCCAGCTGAACAAGCAGAAGCCAAACAAGTATAAAGCTCTGAGCTCAAACCTAGGGATCAAAAAAAAGGAAAGAAAGGAAAAGAATCCCTTTGAGTCCATGAAAGAACAACTAGAGAAAAATCATGATTATCAACAATGTGGTAAAGCCTCCAAAGTCATATTTCCTATACAGTATGAGTTCTCTCATCCTGGAAAGACATCATAGCAATATAAGCAATGTTATAAGCAACATAAGATATTCAGATGTTCAATTTCTCTTCATATTTATAGACAAATTCACTGGAGGAAAATGCTATGAATAAAAAAATATGGTGAAGCCTTACGTTTTTTTCAGTTCTTTTAAGAGCATTGAGGGACCCACACTGGAGAAAAGCCCCTGAATATAAGGAATGGATTGTTTTTCATGCAGAAACCCATACCTATTGCCTACACACATCTGGGCTATATGCTACACAACATTACTTCGTGCTCCAAACCTCTGGCCAGTGCTGCTGTTTTCCTTTATTATTTTTTTGAAACATGGTCTACTTATGTAGCCCAGGTGGTCCCTGGACTCACGATCCTTCTATCTCAGCCTCATGGGTGAGTATCACACACATACACTACCATGCTTGGGCCGAATGTGCTGTTCTCGACATTGGGTATGACTCATTTTTAAGACCAGCAAATTAAATGATGTCTGACAATTATTTCTAAAAATGAAGGGATTACTACAAAATAAAACAGAAAAACAAAAATGTGTTGACAGTGTTGTGATGTTTATGTTCACTCTGGTCTATAGTTCTTAGAAACCATGTGTTATTTATAAACCGTTTGTAGTAAGAGTCCCTTTCTGACTATACCCTTGTTGTTTTAATTACCAAAGGAATATAAATAGGTAATATTTCAAGTATAGCCTGGACATATGGAGGGCAGAGCTTGTTCCTGCTTAGGGCAGGTAAGGTATTTATCTGTGTTGAATGGCCAGCAGCCCTGGAGTAAGTGACAAGATGGCACATATCATTTCCCCACCCCAGGAGGAGTTAAAGAGCTAAACTGTAAAGTCAATAATTGCTGCAACTTACCATGCTTCCAACTGCCCTCACCACAGAGCTGCAGCACTGTCTTCAAAAAGTCCTTAGCATTAAAACAAACAACAGGGCATTTACATTTCAGGGTCTGAAACAGCACGTTCCTAGAAAACAAAGAAATTCACTAATTTAGAATTTAATTCAGAACTTTAAACTTAGAAAAATATTACCATTACTCTACTGATGGTTATTATTTAGATTAACTAAAGAATCCTATGAGGTAGGTAACTTACCTTTTTTCTTTCTTCTTCCTCCCTCCTCCCTCCTTTTTTCCTTCCTTTTGCCAGTATAGGAGTTTCAACTCAAGCCTGTGTGCTTGATCAGCTGGTAATATACCACTTGAAGCACATCTCTAACCTTGCTTTTTGCTGGTAAATTTGGAGATAGCCTTATGGACTCTTTGAACCTTGATCCTTTAGATTTTAGCTTCCTAATTAGGTAAGATTGTAGTTGTGAACCACAGGCCTACGCTGGCATTATTTCTTCTCTACTTTTTTTTTCTTTTGTCGGTTATGGGGCTTGAGCTCTGGGCCTGGGCAATGTCCCTGAGCAATTCAGCTCAAGGCGAGTGCTCTACCACTTGAGCCACAGTGCCACTTCTGGTTTTCTGGTGGTTAATTGGTGATAAGAGTCTCACAGAGCTGGGCGCCGGTGGCTCACACCAGTAATCCTAGCTACCCAGGAGGCTGAGATCTAAGGATCACAGTTCAAAGCCAGCCTGGGCAGGAAAGTCTGTGAGACTCTTATCTCCAATAAGAAAACCAGAAGTGGCACTGTGGCTCAAGTGGTAGAGCGCTGGCCTTGAACTGAAGAGCACAGGGACAGTGCCCAAACCCAGAGTTCAAGCCCCACGACTGACAAAAAAAAAAAAAAGAGTCTCACAGACTTTCCTGTCCAGGCTGGCTTTGAACAGTGATCCTCAGATCTCAGCCTCTTGAGTAGCTAGAATTACAAGTATGAGCCATCAGCTCCTGGCTTCTCTACATTTTATACTTGATGAAACTGAAACACAGAGGCTACATACCATACTCCATAGCTTATTCCTGAGCAAAACCCCAAAACCTGCAGAGAAAGGCCTGAGTTCCTGCACAGAAGATACACACTTAAACCTAGGCCCTAAAAGAGAGTCTCCAATATGTTCTCCCTAGAACACCTTCCAAACATTCCAGCCTCCTCAGTCTCATTGAGACTCAGACTTCTGGCTGCTATACTTGCTCCTTCTTGACCACACTTCTCCCAAAAGTTTTGTAACCTGCTCTAGTGCTGCTCTGAGAAAGGAACAGCTCCTCTCAGGTCCCCCTGTACTCCTGTCCACAAACTAAGTGGCTACATTAGAACTATACACTGTAATGTTTTCCCACTCCTCACAGGGTTCATGAATGTGGGATAATAGTTCACCTTCACCAGACACTTATCACGTGGCAGATTCCCCACTAGCACTGCATTAAATCAGTGCAGCACCCCTGATCCTGTCTATTAGGCAAGTACTTTTGCACTGTACGGGGGAGGGGACCTAGACTAGGAAACTTACATCTAGTAACTGGCAAGGCTGGAGTCTGAAACCATATTTTCTCTATCAGAGTAACTCTAAGCCACCACATCATAAAACTCTTCTATGGTAAATGTTTATTAATACATTAATAAGGCTCTCTAGGGTGAGGGAAGGAAGAAACTGCACAAAGAGGTAGCACACAAAATGAACCTACAGTCGGACCTTGCTTGCTTACTCTACAGACAGTATCAGGCATTTTGACTTCTATATGAACTGACCTTGATTTCCTTAACAAGGCCAGGCTGGTAGGCAGAACAAAGTACAAATAGCGAGACCTCAGGTTTTAGCCTAGATAGATTGGCCAGGGGCACATAGTAGGAGAGATGAGGAGGGAACTCCCTCATAATACTGTTCCTGCTGAGATACGGGGTCTTGGGTGAGGTGATCTAATCAGCTGTGTTGTCTCTGTTAGGAGACAGGCAGACTGGCTGGAATTTTTCTTGGACAGACCAAGAGCAAAAGAGGATCTTGCAAAGTAAAAAGGCTGAAATAGAATGTATTTTATAAGTCAATTATATGAGTCTGTCATGTCATATTTGAAAAAAGGTGGCTATAATTAAAGAAGCTAAGGGCTGGTCTGGGAAGGTGGCTCAGTGGTAGAGTGCTTGCCTTGCATGTATGAGGCCTTAGGTTCCATTCCTCAGTACCACATAAATAGAAAAAGCTGGAAGTGGCTCTGTGGCTCAAGTGGTAGAGCACTAGCCTTGAGCAAAAGAAGCTCAGGGACAGTGCCCAGGCCCTGAGTTCAAGCCCCAGGACTGGCAAAAAAAAAAGAATCTAAGGGCCAGAGTCTAGCTTGGTAGTAGAATTTGTGATTAGCATGCACAAGGCTCCAGGTTCAATTCTCAGCACTGCAAAAATAAATACATTAAAATTAAAAAGCTAGCCAGGAGCCAGTGGCCCACGCCTGTAATCTAGCTACTCAGGAGGCTGAGATCTAAGGATCACAGTTCAAAGCCACCCAGGGCAGGAAAGTCCGTGAAACTCTTATCTCCAATAAACTACTAGAAAACTGGAAGTGGCACTGTGGCTCAAGTGGTAGAGCGTTCGCCTTGAGCTGAAGAGCACAGGGATAGCGTCCAAGCCCAGAGTTCAAGCCCCACGACTGACCAAAAAAAAAAAATTAAAAAGCTAGATTTGGGCTTAAAAGACATTTGAAGGGCTAGGAAGGTGGCTCAATGGTAGAGTGCTTGCCTTGCATGCATGAAGCACTGGGTTCCATTCCTCAGCACCACATAAGCAGAAAAAGCTGGAAGTGACATTGTGGCTCAAGTGGTAGAGCGCTAGCCTTCAGCTGAGGAGTTGAGGGAGTGTCCAGGCCCAGAGTTCAGGCTCCACGACTGACCAAAAAAAAAAAGATTTGAAAGCTGGGCACCAGTGGCTCACACCTGTAACCTTTGCTACACAGGAGGCTGAGATCTGAGGATCACAGTTTGGTGACAGCCAGGGTAAGGAAATCTGTGAGATCCTTATTTCTAGTTAACTACCAAAAATTTGTAAACAAAACTGTGGCTCAAGTGGTAGAGCTCTAACCTTGAGCAAAAATGCTCAGGGACAGTGTCCAGTCCCTGAGTTCAAGCCCCTAGACCAACACACACACACACACACACACACACACACACACACACACACACGACATTTGAGTTGAAATTGAAGACTGATCTATGACTTTATTTCTTTGAGCCTGTTTTCTCATGTATAAAATGGAACCAATAAGATCTAACACATAAAGATGAGTGTTTGGATATGTGAAAAGATACTGCATTTATGTGTATATTAATTAAACTTATGTAAATCCATTTAGAATCCCAAAGAAAGTATCATAGAGTTGAGAATAATGCATCCAATTTTATGGTACATGAGGTAATATTATAATTAGATAATAATATAATTATCCTGGAACTTACTAATGCTCATTCATTCAATAATAACACAGAATAAATATTACGTACCTACTTTGCAGCATTGTTCTCGGGGATACAAATGGAATAAAACAATTCCTGCCTTCAGAGAGCTAAGGCGTGTACACTGAGTGGTCCCTCAATACAATGACACACAGACTGAAGATGGGGAAATGTGATGTGGGATTATGTGTGGTGCTGGCATGGGTACCATCTTATCTAGGTGGTTCAGGAAGGCCTTGCCAACAAGATCACCTATGACTGAAGACATGAAAGGCACAGTAAGCAAAGTCTGGATGATGAGGGAAAGCAAAGCTTTTTACAGGAAATGTTAACTAATGTGGAAGAAATTACAAAAGAAAAGAAGTTGGATCAAAGTAAGCCTTTAGAACCAAATTCCATATACTACATAGAAGAAAAGAAACCAAACTAAAGAACCCCACAATGAAGCTGACAGGTAAATGCAGGACACAGGATCTTCTACAAGATGATTTAGATTAGAAGAGATGTGATCACCAAATGTTACATGTGAGCCTTTGTTGGGGTTTCTGTTCCCAGTAAATCTACTGCAGAAGAACATTTTTAGGTAACTTTTGAGAAACTTGGGCTAAAGCAGGCATGTAAGCAGGAGATGAGGAAACAAGTAAATCCCATACCTGGCAAACAGACTATGTGCCTCTTGTTCTTGGCTAGGGATGGAAGGATGTTCTGTGTGTATGTAGATGTACCGTTCAGTGGACACAATGCCCTCCTCCAAACTACCACCACAGACTCCTGGGGAATCCAGAGGACCTCTGGTGTTTTCTGGATGACTCTTCAGTAACATCACAATTCCTTTAACGGAGGAAGCTGGAGAAACCTGTAAAAACACAGCACAACTAAGGGTCAAAATTAAACACATACATCTATTACCCAAGATATATCATTTATTTTATTATTTTTTTTTGGGTCCAGTCGTGGGGCCTGAACTCTGGGCTTGAGTGCTGTCCCTCAGCTCTTCAGCTCAAGGCTAGCGCTCTACCACTTGAGCCACAGCGCCACTTCCGGCTTTTTTCTTTTTGCTTATGTGGTGCTGAGGAATCGAACCCAGGGTCTCAGGCATGCAAGGCAAGCACTCTACCACTGAGCCACCTTCCCAGCCCAAGATATATAATTTTATAATGAGAGAAAGTTAGAAGACAATAGAATAATATCTTTACTGAAAGAAAAAAGATCAACTGATTTTTTTTTACTTTTTTATTAATTCTTTTACTGTACAGAGGGGTTACAGTTACATGAGCAAGGTAATGAGCACATTTCCAATCAGGCATTGTTGCCTCCTCCTTTGTTTTCCCCCTACCATCCCTTCCTTCCCACCTCCACAACTATTCCCCCCACCCCTAGAAGTTGTAAAATTTGTTTTCAACATAGTGTCTTGTATATCTCATTGTTACAATGGGTCAAACTATATCCCAATTTAAGCATTTTGTTTATTCCCCTTCCCCTCTCCAAATTAGAGAAGTGTATGTACAAGATGCAGGGCACTGGAATCAAATACAGTGAAAACAGGGGTTATACTGTGTCTTGGTGCCTGATCACTGTCCTTGAGCTTTTGTGCTCAAGACTAGTGCTCTACTATTTGAGTCAAAGTTCCACTTCCAGGTTTTTTGGTGATTAATTAGAGATAAGAGTTTCATGGACTTTCATGCCCAGACTAACTTCAAACTATGTTCCTCAGACCTCAGCCTCCTGTGTAGGTAGTATTACAGGTGTAAGCTATCAGCATCTGGCTTCAACTGTTACTATTCTTATAGATGTTTAAATTTTGAATCTTCTTGGTCATTGCTGAACTTTTATAGCTTGCTTGGTGTCCCCTCTTGAGGTAGAGTTCTTTTTTTTTTTGGGTCCGCTCGTGGGGCCTGAACTCTGGGCCTGGGCGCCGTCCCTCAGCTCTTCAGCTCAAGGCTAGTGCTCTACCACTTGAGCCACAGCTCCACTTCTGGCTTTTTTCTTTTTGCTTATGTGGTGCTGAGGAATCGAACCCAGGGCCTCAGGCATGCAAGGCAAGCGCTCTACCACTGAGCCACCTTCCCAGCCCCTTGAGGTGGAGTTCTGTGCTAATGTTCTGTACCTCTTTTTGACCACAGGGAGCTAGGTTTATTCCCTGTCACTATTTTGACATCTTGCCCCAGTCTCCCTAATGGTATTTTTTAACCCAGAAAAATATCTTTTAAAAATGAAAAGTCTAAGCCGGGCGCTGGTGGCTCACGCCTGTAATCCTAGCTACTCAGGAGGCTGAGATCTGAGGATCGTGGTTCAAAGCCAGCCCAGGCAGGAGAGACCGTGAGACTCCTATCTCCAATAAACCACCAGAAAAACGGAAGTGGCGCTGTAGCTCAAGTGGTAGAGCGCTCGCCTTGAGCTGAAGAGCTGAGGGACAGTGCCCAGGCCCAGAGCTCAAGCCCCACGACCGACCAAAAAAAAAAAAAAAAAAAAAGAAAAGTCTTCAATTTAGGAGTGGGCAAAAAATATTGAATTTCACCAAAGATGATATGTGAACAGTCAATAAGCAATCAAAATATGTTCAAGGTCATTTTTTTTTTTTTGGTTGTGAGGCTTGAACTCTGAGCCTGAGCACTCTTCAGCTCAAGGCTAGCACTCTACCACTTGAGCCACAGTGCAACTTCCAGTTTTGTGGTGATTTATTGAGATAAGAATCTCACAGAAGCCGGGCACTGGTGGCTCATGCCTGTCATCCTAGCTACTCAGGAGGCTGAGATCTGAGGATTGAAGTTCAAAGCCAGCCCAGGCAGGAAAGTCTGTGATATTATTATCTCCAATAAACTACCAGAAAACCAGAAGTGGCGCTGTAGCTCAAGTGGTAGAGCACTAGCCTTGAGCTGAAGAGCTGAGGGACAGCGCTCAGGCCCAGAGTTCAAGCCCCACGACTGATAAAAAAAAAATTTTCACGGAGTTTCCTGCTCCAGCTGGCTTTGAACTGTGAGCCTCAGATCTCAACCTCCTGAGTAGGTAGGATTACGGGCATGAGCCACCACATCAGGCTCAAGGTCATTGTTATTAAGCAAATCCAATTTATTTTTATTTATTTTAAATTTTTTTGTTATTATAAAGACGATTACAGGGGTTACAGTTAATTAAGTCAGGTAAAGAGTATATGTCTTTTTGGACAATATCATCAGGTAAAGAGTATATGTCTTTTTGGACAATATCATCCCTACCCTTGTTCTCTCCCAGTTTTTGCCTCCCATCTCCACCAGCAAATAAAATTTAAAAGCACCATGAAATACCATTTCACACTCATTAGAATGGCTAAAGTAAAAAAGATGGGGAATATTTGCAAAGAGGTGAAGACTGTGAAACCTTTACACTTTACTAGTGGAATATATTCCACGGCAGCTTGCTAGCCTCCTAAATCACTTACCACTGGTGAGGAAGAGGAACTTAAAAGTCTTATTTCTAGCTCCCCTGTCAAAATCAGACACTAAGAAAAGGACCTTCCTTTCATTGCTGTTTTGAGATAGGGTCTCACTATGTTGTGTAGGCTAGTTTCAAACTTCTGGGCTCAAGCATTCCTCTGTCTGCCACGAACTGGACTACAGCGGTGCCATCATGCCCAGGAAAGAGGGATTTCTCTTATGGAGCAAAAGTAACAAACTCTATCAATGTTTACTAACCTGGGTAGCTGTTATCTGGGTGTAACCATCCTTATATATCAGAGTTACCACCAGGGTTGCTGCCTGCTTGAGCATTTCCATCAGCTGGCTTTTTGCCAAATCATCCAAATACCTAACATCACAAAACTGCCTTTGAAATGTTGTTGAGTGGCTAGAGTTCCCAACCTTATCATCACGTTCTTCCAATGCCATGTGTTTACTTGTTTTCTCTAATGAATTACTACATGCATTATATTTTCTTTTGGTATTCATGCTTTCCTTCTTTCCATTATTTACATTTTTCTTTAGGAAATGCTGTCTTGTATGTTCCATTTTCTGTATAACTGAAATTTCTTGATCATACTGTGGAATTACATAGCGGGGAAGAATCAATGAGTTTGTGTTTTTCTGCATTTGCTCAGCAGACAGGTGACCCGTGAGCTCAGTAATGGAGGACTGAGGAAAGGGCTTGGTGGATCCTCTTGATGTCTGGCTTGTTAAAGACTCAGAAGTCTGTGGACAAATGGAAAATATTTTGTTAGAATGTGTTCACATTTCATAGGATATACCTATGTTCTGTTTCATTAAAACATGGGACAGCATAGGATAGCTCTATTAATCAAACTAATTTCTGTTAAAATTGTCCAAGATAATGTGAAGAAATAAGCCTCACATTTCCTATGACCACTCTTTCTTGCCCTCCCTCCCTTTCTCCCCTCCCTCAGGATAGAACCCAGGACTTTGTACATGTTAAGCAAATGCTCTACCACTAACCCACATAGCCAATCATGTAACCATATTTTCTTTCTTTTTTCTTAGCATACATTGGTTTAGCTGGGTGCCCGTGGCTCAAAGTCTGTAATCCTACTTAGAAAGCGAGCCCAGACAGGAAAGTCTGTGAAACTCTCATCTTCAACAAATCACAAAAAAAAAATCTTGAAGTAGAATGGTGTCTCAAGTGCTAGCCTTAAACACAAAATCTCAAAGACAGCACCCAGGCCCTGAGTTTAAGACCCAGAACCCACACTACATATGCACATAATTGTAGAAGGGGAATTCCACAGACATTTCCACATAGTCTGCAATGTGTCATAATCAACCTCATCCCCTCAGTACTCTTCCTAAAACAACTTCAATAGGTTTCATGGTTCTATTTTCATATGAAAATAGTTTTCATAGTTTTATCTTCATGCAAATAAACTATTGTCAGCCCTAGTAATCCTCATGCACCCCCCAGTACCTATCCACATCCAAGCCAGTTTTTTTTTTCTGGTCATTCATTTTTGTTTTAGTTATAAAGTGACATCACAATATGTTAATTGACCTACTAACTAAAGAAGAAAGTACAGATCAATAGTGATCTGGTAATGAGTAACATAGTAGTCCAGCATCCCTGTCCATTTCATTATAAGATCCATGGACAGTAATAACTTGTCTTTAACATTTATTTTCAATTTTATCATTTGAAGACCTTCATTTAAACAATTAATTTGAAATAATTTGGAAAAAAAAGCTTTAACAGTTGGCTATATGAAACGGAAAATTTTACATTTATACTTACTTTTATTATAGAGAATTACTTGTTTTTCAAGAACAGACTTTCAAGCATAAAATTTATAGATTAAGAATTCTGTGGAGGAGTATACAAGAAAAAGACTCAGGAAAAATGGGAACTCTAAGATTTCAGATGTTGCTCATGTATTTTTTTAGGGTATGATTATGGATATCAAGTCACCAGAGTGTAGTTTTAATCACAGTGGATATATTTGAAATTTAGCATGACAGTTTTAAATATTAACAATATGTCACAAATCATATCCTTTACAAGTTTCTAAACTTGTGGTAAGTATTTTAATTTCAGCTTAAAATATGTCAGGAAGTCCATGGATTTTCAAAATTCAAGTCCTCATCCTATCAGCCCATCCTGTCCACACTAGAGACAGCTCTACCACTTCCCTATTTTGCTACAGGAAGTTTATGTTGAAATGATGATAAGCTGGGGCCTGGACACAGGTTTGCTCAGAGTCCTTTCTCCTCACCACTAGGCACCTCCACCCATGTTCCTTACACAAGCTCTTCAGCAAAATGACCACTTCTCTCTCTGATACTGTTTCCAGGTCTTTCTGACTACTTATTTTCACTATTTCAAAATTCTAAGCTTTCCATGATCTCCCCAAATATATCTCCATTCTTCCTTGATTCTCTATAAATGTGGCATTATCAAACTAGCCAACTCCTAATCATCCACTAGATCTCAGTGCAGATGCAATTTTCATACTTCAGAAAGACTACCCAAACTCCTGTCTCTCCAACTCAAAAAATCAAATTAAAACAGTATAAAGTTTAAGCTATATGGCTCTCCTCTACTTCCCAGAGCACTCTGAATTCAGGCCTGTTTTGGCACTTCTATTATGGTACAGATCTGTGTGATATGTCTCTGTCTTCCCGTTCCCTCATCCAAATCAAATTCTATTGCTTCTGAAGAAGAGAAACTCTGTGTGTGTGTGTGTGTGTGTGTGTGTGTGTTGGTACGTGAGCTTGTGCTCAGGGCTTTGAGCTTTTGTTCCTTATCACTCATAGATGATGCTCTACCACTTAAGCCATACCTGCAGTCTAACATTTTGCTGTTTAACCAAAGACCAGTCTCCTGGACTTTCCTGCCCCTGCTGGTTTCAAACCACAGTCCTTAGATCTTAACCTCTGGAGTAGCTAGGATTACAGGCCTGAGCCACTGGTGCCTACATTTTTTAAACCATTATATCTACAGTGCCCAACGTATAACAGGACATTTAATAAGTATTTGTTAAGCAAATAAGGTTTAGAATTACTCTATTTGCAATGATTTACCTTTCTTTCTAGTGTCTGATTCATCCTATTTTCAAGTATTGCTGAATACTCAACACTGGGTTTGCTTATCATATTTGCAGCTTTAAAAACAACAAAAATATAAGGTATTAAAATCATTGAAATATAAATCATTCAATTAACTAAATACTGAAAATAGCCTCTATAATCATGCTATTTGCTCACCATTAACGTTTTTAAAAGTTGTAATAAATTTCACAACCAAAATGCATAGGACCTTTACTGTAAGTTGATATATAAAGCAATATTCAAATTAACCGGAGACAGATCTATTTAATTATGAAATGCTTGTTTAAGATGATGACTTGGCATTTGCATCTGAACTTTTGATTCTGAAAACCCAAATTCGACACTTTATAGAACCTGATAAGTGTTAACGGTTTATTTAGATTTTGTTTTATTTTAATAAGCCTTGGTTGCAGTGAGATGGAACCAGAATTTGATCCCAAGCAGTCTGACTTAGAAGTCTACGTCTCAACCACTGTGATATTTCCTCTGAATATGTGATATTTCCTCTCCACCAGAAGAAGCACATGGGGAAAAAGAATGTCCTCTACAACAGAAAAGTTACTAAAGATTAACCTAAAAATCAAGGCATAAGTCACTCAATATGAAAACTCAAAAATGTTTTTCATGAATGTGCTGATCCTGGGGCTTGAACTGTGGGTTTGGGTGCTGTCCCTGGGCTTTTGTGCTCAAGGCTAGTGTTCTACCACTGTGAACCACAGCACCATTTCCAGCTTTTTGGCAGTTAATTGGAGATAAAAAATTATCACAGACTTTCCTGCCAGGGCTGGCTTTGAACCATGATCCTCATATCTTGGCCTTCTGAGTAGCTAGCATTACAGGCATGAGTCACCAGTGCCCAGTGAAAACTTACTAATTTTATGAAATAGCTTAGAACAAGACCTCTACAAAGAGCAAGACATAGCATTAGAACATATATTAAAATATTAAATTCTTCCAAACACAAATATATTCAGCTCTAATTAAGAGACCATACAGGGATATTTTAATAAAATAATTTCAAAGTGCACATGAAAACAAAATATCTAAAAATATAAAATAAAAAAGAATTGTCTTGGTAAAATTTTTTAGAACACATTTTAAAGTCACTGTAATCAAATCAACATAATATTTGAATATGGATAGACAAAAAGACTTCTTGAACAGAGCAGGTAACAGGAACTAATCCTAGATCTTATGAGAACTTAATATATTAAAAGATAGCATTTTACTTCAGTAGAAAATAACAAATTAGCCGGGCCCTGGTGGCTCATGCCTATAATCCTAGTTACTTAGGAGGCTGAGATCTGAGGATCGCAGTTCAAAGCCAGCCCGGGCAGGAAAGTCTGTGAAACTCTTATCTCCAGTAAACCACCAGAAAACCAGAAGTGGAGCTGTAGCTCAAGTGGTAGAGCACTAGCCTTGAGCTGAAGAGCTGAGGGACAGTGCTCAGGCCCACGGTTCAAGCCCCACAACCAACAAAAAAAAAAAAAAGAAAGAAAGAAAATAACAATTTAATAACTATATCTAAAATAAAAGTAATGTACTATTTGGAACAAAAATTGCAAAGCTCTGCTGGGTGCCAGTGGCTCACACCTATAATCCTAGATACTCAGGAGGCTGAGATATGAGGATCACTGTTCAAAACCAGCCCTGGCAAGAACGTCCATGAGACTTTTTTTTTTTTGGTCGGTTGTGGGGCTTGAACTCTGGGTTTGGGTGTCTCCATGAGTCTCTTATCTCCAATAAACCACTAGAAAACCAGAAGTGGCTCTGTGGCTCAAGTGGTAGAGCGCTCGCCTTGAGCTGAAGAGCTGAGGGACAGCACCCAGGCCCAGAGTTCAAACTCCATGACCAACCAAAAAAAATGACAAAGCTCTAATTACTTAGATTACACAAGTTCTTATATGTTGAGAAGACAATTTTTTGTGTGCCAGTACTGGGGCTTGAACGTTGGGCCTTGGTGCTTTCCTATAGCCTTTTCGTTCAAAACTAATGCTCTACTACTTTAGCCACAGCTCCACTTCCACTTTTTACTGATTTAATTAGAGATAAAAATCTCTTAGATTTGTCTGCCCAGGGGCTGGAAGGTGGCTCAGTGGTAAAGTGCTTGCCTCACATGCATGAGTCCCTGGATTCAATTCCTCAGCATCAACATAAACAGAAAAGGACAGAAGTAGCGCTGTGGCTCAAGTGGTAGAGCGCTTGCCTTGAGCTGAAGAGCTGAAGGACTGTGCCCAGGCCCAGAGTTCAAGTCCCATGACTGGGGAAAAAAAAAAAAAAAAAAAAGATTTGTTGGCCCAGGCTGGCTTTGAACCTCAACCCTCAGATCATAGCTCTGAGTATCTAGGATTACAGTCATGCATCACTGGCACCAGACAAGACAATCTGATAGAAAAATAATCAAAGGATAGGAAGACAGAATATACAAAACAACAAACCTCAAAAGCAAATATACTTAAATTTACTAGTAGAGAAATGTAAATTAGAGGCTCTTTAAAACTTTCTGGTCACTGATGGACAGCAGTCCCATATTGCCTATTGACATCATAGCTGTCTTAGTTTATATAAACACAATGTCACACAATGACAAAAAAGATATATTTCAGAATATGTCGTATCACTAGCTGATACTTGGCTGCAAACATAATTTGTTGATGAAAGAAACGGGAAGCCTCATGCACTGCTTTTTAGAAAACAATGATCTATACTTATTACAATTAAAAATGCACACACCAAGAAGGTGGTGGCTCATAGGTATAATCGTAACTACTCAGGAGGGCTGAGATCTGAGGACCAAAGTTCAAAGTCAGCCTGGGCAGGAAAGTCTGTGAGACTCTTAGCTCCAATAGATTAGCAAAAAAACTGAAAGTGGAGCTATGGCTCAAGTGGTAGAGCACAAGCCTTGAGCAAAAAGAAACTTAAAGGCCCTGAGTCAAGACCCAGGACCAGCAAAACATAAAAACAAAAAATGCACAGATCACTCTTGGGAACTGGGAGGAGGAGGAGTGGTCCAAAGGGAGCACAAGATGTGACTCTGGGAACGCTAGTAATGTTGTTTCTCCTAAGTTGGGTTCAAGTCTGGCAAACTGGATGTATAGAGTAGGTAAGGCTATATATATGAGCTTATTGTGAGAGAAAACTTCAGTGAAACAGGGATAAACATGCATCAATCATTTATCCAAACAATCTCACTCTTAGCTATCTGTTCCACAGAAATATATGCAACAGGAAAGAGATTCAAACAAATATTTATGGTTATTGCTCATTATGGTGAAGGAATCAAAGCAGATACCAATCAAGAAGGAAAAGGATGAATAAATTTACATAACATCAAAATGTTATTTAATCAACATATTATTAGTGACTTACAGTTGTATCAGTGGACTGCAGACAATGACCACATTTTAAAAAACAGTGATCAAATTCTCCACTTGTGTATATGAAGATACTACACATGTGCTCTGTGGATTGGGTTCCCACTCTGTATGGTTTGCACCTGGGAAGGCAATTTGGGAACAGAGGAAGCTAGAGTAAATCTACGAAGAAGCTAGTTAAGACACAGTCCCTCAGGCCCAGTCAGGGCCCAGCTAGCCCTGTAGAGGTGTTCTGATGGGGGAACTGGGCCTTTATAAGCCAGCACCAACCATCATTGGATAGGTCACTCCTAGGGAATAGATGTTCCTGGGAAAAGAAGCTCTACATCTTGGTTGGGGATGTAGCTCAACAGAACAGTGTTTGCCTACCATGTGCAAGGTACTAGGTTCTATCCCTAGCACTGAAAAAAAAAGTGTTAAGCAATGCAATCAAGATGAAAATCTCTTGAGAGAGATAGTTGTAGTAAAGTCAGGCACCAGTGGCTCACACCTGTACTTCTAGCTAGATCTGAGGCTCATGGTTTGAAGCAAGGCTGGGAAAGAAAAGACATGAGACTTATCCTCAATTAACCACCAAAAAGCAGGAAGTAAAGCTGTGGCTCAAGTGGTAGAATGCTAGCCTTGAGCACAAAAGCTCAGGGATAGTGCCCAGGTCCTGAGTTCAAGCCCCAGGACCATCACAAAAAATAAAAATGTAAAAAGGCAGGTCTCCAAAACTGGAGCAGCCACCAAGAGGGACTGTGACAGTAGCGGGGCACTGGGTCACAGGGGACCTGGCCATCTGCAGTGCCCAGGAACATACCATGCTACTCATGTGCTTCAGACATGTTCAGAAGTACCTGCAGGATCTGGTGAGCCTCTTTTTTATAGAAAAGTTAAAGGAATAAACCACATGTGGTCACTGCAGCTGATCTCAGACAGCAAATGACACCCAATATCTGTCTCCCTCCTCTCTTGCCACTCTGAAGTCCCCACCACGGCTGAGCACTCTGATGGTCTAGGTAGCTTACTGATCAAGTGTCTCAAATACTCATCACTAGTCAAAGGTTGGGTGTTTACCAGAGAAATAGCTAAGGTGGCCCTGGCAAGTAGGAACACCATGTTATTGGCTCATGCATAGCTTTTCCCCAGCCCCATGGTTACTCCATTAAGGATGGCCATGTGTTAACACTGGGACAGCGTAGGACAAGGACTGGCAGTGTTAACTGGCCACGTCATTCTGCTAACGTGCTTGCTGCCTGTGTTTGTCTCTCGTCTGTGGTAGATACTCTCAGTGGGGAGATGCCTCACACTCATTCCATAGACCTAACCATTTGCCTGGCCTCAAGAACTCCTCGTGCTAGATCTCTCAAGCTTTCTTATTCCAGATCCCTGGTCAGCTAGGTGACCCACTCACACTGCTCACACTGTTTTCTAGAAGTCAAGTGCACTCCCAGTTTGTCTCTTGGATTTCCCTTCAATGTATCTTCCAGATCTGCCCAGGTCAGGCTGAGGTGACTCCAACTAGTTTTTTTATTTCACCACCTACTGAACTGATCCATTTTGAACCAGGATCAATGCTTTCTCCTTTTCTAGCTGGTCTGAAGCAGGTCTCCCTCCTCCCTACAGATACCAGGGCCAGCACTAATGAGTGATGGGAGCCTGGCCACCTGCTCAGGCAGCCTGGCTATGCCTGGTGG